AAAACAAAGGTAGGCTAAGTTCGCCTATCGTATTTCCAATTTTAAACGCTCAAAGCTGCCCCAAAACTCTTTCAAATCACTCGTAAAACCTACAATATGTTTAAACTTACTTGTTTTGTCTCTTATTCTTTATAAATGTCTTCATTTTTGCCGTTTTTTAAACATATTATTATTAAAATGCAATTTAACAAAACTGAGTTCATCTTGTTCGCACTCCGGGAGGTACGGGAGATGTGTCGTTTGCAAACAAAAACGTTTTCGGTTTACAAAAGTGGAAATTGAAATTCGTGTCGTGCAATTTTGGACTGAAATAAAATTTGTGATTACAAATCGCACTCCCGCTTCGCAGTCGTGCGATTTTGTAATCACGCGTTTGGTTTCAGTCCAAATTGCACTCCACTCAGTTCAATTACCATTATAAACTAGAAAATACTTGCATGCAGAAACCCTCGCCGTACTGACAAAACCATTGTATTTTCCGAACATGAAGTATCTAAAGTTGTTGTCATGGTAACACGATAATTTTTAAGAATATTCTTACAAATGAAAAATTGCCTAAAAATATCACTTTTAATTACAAAATTATCAATTTCCCAACATATATATGTTAGGTATGTTATTATACGTAATATAGGCTTCAATTTAAGATAAAATTCAACCACAAACGCTTCGCAAAACGTTTTAAAGTGTTCTTTATAAAACTAAACAGCCTTTTATAATTAAATGGCTTTATCGATAAACTTTGAGTTTGCAATAAAATGATTTCAAATTCTCGCTTGCAAATAACTTTGCTTTATTTTTTATTTAAAAATTCAATATAATAAAAAAGGGAATCAATATTAAAGATACACTGAAATTATATGCTGTCTTGTTTAGTTGTTTCATATACGCAAAGGCCGTCGGGTTTTAAATCCATTATAAAATCAATATTTAAAACAAACTTACCTTCGTTAACGTCGGCTCCCTTCTTTTAGCCGATTCTTTCGCCCTTTCTTTATGAGAAAACTTTTGAAATTTACAAAATCTTGCAAAAATGCGAGCAAAAAATTCATCAATCATCAAATCAAGAAATGTTTGCTATTTCGCTGTCGTCATGCAGTCGTTATTATAATGCAAATTTTAAATTGGACCAGTCAGTGTCCGCTATTCATGACAGTCCGCCATATATTTGAGATCAGTGAGGATGACCACCCACGGTTGGTCACCCACGCCCGCGATATTTGATGAACTTTTGACTCCGCTAATGCTTTCGTTTCCCCGGGTGTAAATAGCCGGGGGGGATTAGTACCCTCGCACGGCGCTTCGCGCCGTCGGCTCGGGAATAAACTTTTAAAAACTACACTTTAAAAACACTTTATTGTACATATTAAGTTTATACTACAATACATACTGTTTATCTATACACTAATACACTGATCCAAACTTTATTCCTGTTCAGGTTTGAACGGAAAAAAATTGAAGATAAAAGTTTGAAACTAAAAGTCAGTCGAAACTAAAAGTCAGTTGAAAATAAAAGTTTACAATAAAATTTTGTAATAAAAGTTTGAAGTTTGTTCGTCGTCAGGAAGAAAGATACAACCTTTCTATACTTAAATTTCAAACTTTTAAATATTTTTCAAAATAAAATAATCCAAATATATCAAAAAAAGTTAAAGTACAAAAGCTGTTTTTGTGGTGTCGCGTCTGGGCTGCCGTATCGTCTCATACAATATAGTAATCCTCACCTTTTTAAACTGGTCAAGAAGGAGTTTGAGAACTTTTGGATTTTTCACAGCGTAGTGGAAAACATTTCTGCCATCTTTGTCACAAGTTGTAAAATGATCATCATCCGTTTTAATACCAAAGATAAGCGAAACGATTTGTAGTTGATTTGCTTTGGCCGCCCTGGAAAAGTTAACGGAACGTTAATGTTATAACGACTTATTAATACGGATGATACTTAACAAATAGATTACATTTAACCGTTGTTCATTTATAGATACACAGTATCACGTCATATGTGAACATGTGGTAAGAACAAAAAAAAGTGTCCACGAGCCGCCATGGCGACAACCTCGCAAGCCAGGATCATTTACCGAGCGCAGGTAAAAGACCCTAGCTTGCGAGGTTGCCTTGGCGAATGGTCACATTTTGCTTTTACCACATATGACGTCATACTGTGTATCCAACCTCGTTCCCAGGGCTTCAGTGTGAGGACGAGGCGAGACATGAGGAAGCCCTGGTCTGGGCCGGTCAATTTTGCATTCTGATTGGCTAACACCATATTGTCTAAAAATAACTGAACTTGACAGTTAACAATAACAATTCAACATTTGTATTTTTATGATTCTTGTGTGTACGAGTATGTTTTACAAAATAATCTTTCAAAGTAAGACGTTTTCCCGACTGCATGATTTACTTTCGCCTCGGCCGGTTACAAAACTCAAAAGCCGGGTCGAAGTTAGCTGTGATATTTCCTGACAAAACAAGAAACGTCTACTATTATTTAAGCTGTAGTTTTCCTTGTACAGTATTTATTAGTGCAGATTTCTGATGAAATACAACGCGTATTGCATTGTTGTAATATTTTAATTTACAATATTCTGTACTGACAAATAATAGCAAGACAAACAATTAATTTAGACCCTGTATACTTAATAGCTCTACGCCTAGGCCGATGTAGTCTCTACAAGATTCGCACGTCACCCAGTTTTTCAGTTTCAGAATACTCCGAATATTTGAAAATTGCGACTATACGATAAAATAAAACAAAGATTGTGAAGGGGATTAAATTTGTAGGCAAGCATTGCTCCTGAACGGCAAGTGTTGGTGTCCGGCGAAACAAGCGAATCCGTATATTCCTGTACAGCGTAAACAGGTTACGCGAGGTTTTATATTTGTGTTTATTTATATTGAACTAAGTCAGATCTATAAGAGCATATTTAATTAAACTAAATATTAATTATAGCAATAGCCATATTGTTCAAGACGAGAGAAAAGAAATTTCGTGTGAATCACCACTTGCATGGAGACGCCTAGATGCAGCTTTGCCTATAGTGGAAAATCTCCAGAAATATCGATATATCTTATATATCTTATATATATAATATATATATAATATATATATATATATATATATATATAATATATATATATATATATATATATATATATATATATATATATATATATATATATATATATATATATATATATATATATGTATATATATATATAGACGAGATCTTCATAGATTTTAGCTGATAATTCGTGCGAAACTTCGCTCTAGACATAAATAATATCGATTGAGAAGTCTTTTGGCTATTTATTTGTTTCGAAGACTTGTATATTTCATTAAAGAATATCTCGCCACGCCTTGACGAGTAGCTGTCAAGTACTGCCATTTTTTGTCGTCACGTGACCGTCGCAGACCAGGGCTTCCTCGTGTCTCGCATCGTCCTCACACTGAAGCCCTGGGAACAAGGTTGACTGTGTATCTATAACTGAACAGACAACGAGAAAATGTAATCTATTTGCTTGTATTTAAAATTGAAAAAATTCCCGAAAAAAACAGGTAATTTTGGAAGTCGAAATTTTGCAAATATCACGCGTTTATAATCTATACAAATAACGAAATCGTATTGGCTCGCTAAAGTCACGTGCTGCTGAATTCTGACTGGCTAAGCTTAGAATGCACTAGACGGTAATAAATAAGGAAAAACTAAAAAATTATCAAAACATTGAAAAACATTGTTTTAAAGAAATATAAACGTTTGATAAAAAGGCAATTATTTTCTTCTGAGCGACTATGACATTGAAAATCACTTAAACATTTCCTATGTTGCAAGAAGTGAAGAAACCAGCTGGAAAACGTGACATCGACAGGGTCAAATAAGTCAAATAGTATTTGTTTTTGAAAACCGGATTGAATTTGAAGTCGCAGCTGAATGACTTTATTGATATTTGCCGAGTTGCTAGCTTTTGCGAGTGATTTTTTCACATTTGTCGAAGGAATTGATTCATGTTTATAGATTTAATTGCATAAAATCATTCAATTTGTATAAATTCAATGGAATTTTCAAATATTTTCGGCATTTAAAAACTAATGACGTAATTCTGTGCGTCTGTCCTCTAATAGATCATGGCTCTCGACCAATGAAATCGCATGAATTCTTAAGGTTATTATTTTATACAATCCTGATTATAGCATGCATTCGATTCCGACATGCAAGCTTCATTAGGGAATAGGTCATTAGCCAAACTTGTTATCACTGCTCTACATTGTCATTGATCGGCGCGCCTATAATCATGATACTGATAATGATTGCGTAAGCAAATTGCGAAGACAATCTGCACACGATGCCTGCCAAAGAAATATTCACTATAGGAACCGTGTGGTGCAAAGGGAAAGTTTTTCCTTTTAAAATAGGAAAAAATTAATGTGGACCAACAATTCAGGTTGCCTAAATTTAAGAGGAGAAATAAAAGCGAGTGTGTTTTTATAACTTTGATTAACCCCTGTTAATTGATTTTAATCCCTGAACGGGACGTTTTCATCCCGCCTAGCCCGGAAACTGTTTATAGGGAGAAAATATTTACTTTTAATTAATATTCATAAATTTACCGCAACTTAAGGCAAAATATGGGGGGAATTAATAGTCTTGGTGCTAACCCAGAAATTTTGAAAATTTAGAGTTGTAGAAATGCCATTTTCTGTGCTTTTGAGCAGTTAGGATTAATGGTTGAGGTTATCTAACACTGAGTACATCAATCAAACTAATATCAATCGATAATCGTGGGTTTTTCAATTGTTTAAATAACTTTTGTTAAAAATCCTTATATCTAAGAAATTCTGTTATGAAGGAAAATCCTTAAACGTAAGAACCTGCATGAATCCTGCAAAAATTGTCATTATCTTAAAATCGTAAAGCATAACAAGTGCCCTACACTGACTAAAGCCGGTTTTCCACTTCAACCATATCGTAACGTACCGTAGCATTTTCTTTTGTGTCGAAGTCATTAGTTCCACACTACCGCTCAGGAAACAAAGAAATACGCTACGCTTCGGTACGATACGGTTGAAGTGGAAAACTGGCTTAAAGCCTGTTTTCCACTTCGCCCGTATCGTACCGAAGCGTACTGGTGAGCATGCGCAGATTGAAAAGAGGTTTATAAATCCACGTACTTCCGGGTGTATTCGCGTATCAAAATAAAAAGTTCGTCGCAAGTCAACTTTTTGGCGTACTACGGAATCGAAGTACTAACCAATCAACATTCACGAAATTTTGAAATTTAAAAACGTTTTCGATACGTTTTGGTACGGTACGCTTGAAGTAGAAAACCGGCTTAATTGTCACTGTGTATATCAGTTTCAGCAAATATGCCTGCCAAAATGTTGAAATCAAACAATTACTCTACAATAGACATTTCCAGTAATTACGTCACGACTAACACTGTTGTCAACTTAGGACCACCTTAAATGGAATGGATTTTAAGTTTGTTTCTGACGGGCTACATGCGTAAAAATGATGTTCTGCTCCTCTGGCCATAGCCAAGTTAAAACAAGTATAGTTGTGATGTAATTACCGGAAAGATCTATTATGTGTTGTGATGTTATTGTAAGGCCTGAATGCCATAATTATTTATTAGAAAACATTTTTATTACCTCATAAGAGGGGTAACCCCTTCCTTCCATTTTAACAGAAGACCAGGATCTTCTTGCAAAATGATCTTTGCAAGACCTTCACATCCTCCAGCACAAACGTTGCAAACAAACGATTTCCAATCCTGCTCCTCAGACTTCTTCTGCTGCTCTAGACAATTCTCCCACCAATCATATTCCATAATAAGATTTAGTATTTTTGTCATCCCACTCTGAGAGGCTGAGTAGAGAATTGAATTACCTTTTCCGTCGATATTTTTCATGATTTCTAGAAGATTAGTGCGTTCTTCAGGTTCCGAATCTAATGAAATATTTTGAATTGTTTTAATAAAAAATTATGATTAATATATTTGATTAATAAATGTTTGTGTAGGTTTAATTACTACAGACATCTGCCCTTTCCTTTGTCTGACAAGTGACAAAATTTCCAATGCCAAATTTTGGACCACAGTAATTAGCAATATAGCTGCAGTGGTTTTCCAGCCAGTCAATGTGTACGTATGATGGCAAAGGTAATAAATGGGAAAAAAAAATTAAATGAAATGTTCAAAAACTCGAATCACATTTTATACATAGATGCATGTGGGAAGAAGTGAAACTAATTTTGTACAGTTTTTTATTATATTATACTGAACTGTTCTGCGCTAATTAAAAAAAGGAGAACCCTTTATAAATAAAAAACTTTTTAAATGCATATCATTACACTATTTTGTGATTTTGAGTTTTCTTAATAACAAACTCCACTAAATGTATATCCTAACTAATGTATTTTTAAAGAGCTTGTGAGGCCGGGGAAAAGACAATAAATACCGACATTTCTAATATTTTGCAATTCTTCCAAATCCCGAGGGGAATTTTCGTAGGAGATTGGAGGGGCAGTGCTGTAGAACTAAATTTACCAGAGGGGGACTCTCTTGACAAACGTGAAGCCATAAAATCGTAAAAAATGCGTAACATCATAGATGTTCACAACTCATGACTGAGATGACTCTTAGTCATAGATCGTAACTCATAATAAGTTTCATACGTCATAACCACCTTTTTATTAGGACCTTTTTGTTTAGAATAGACTTATAGACGATAACATTATGTATATTATTATCATCGATTTTCTAAAGTGGAAGGCTCAGCTCCCCAGAGCTTGACGAAGGCGGCACCTCCCCCAAACGCCTCCCCCCCTTCCCACCACCACCACTTCTACAGCACTGGGGAGGGGGCCAGGAACGTACGTTGAGAGATTATGGTCTCCCGTAGTCAGTAAATGCTCGTGTAACCACTAGTATGAAGATGAACGTATATATCGAAGAATAAATGGATGTATAGATGTCCGATCCGGTTAGCGTTAACAATTTTGCATCTTGACATTTGGAGAAATGGACCCGGAATTGAAAGTTAACTTTTACGCTCACAAATAATCTATACTGAAACATATTTACAAGCCGTAGCAACAAATGTAACTTTAGCATGCATGAAAATGTCAATAATTTTTGTGGTTCAATAACTTCAATCTTGGCAAAGATCTGTTATAGCGAGATCAAAAATTGGTTGACGCTATATAATGCACTCGATATATGTTTGTGATGCTGTCTCTGAGTGTATCCACACTGGGCAAGCTGAAATAAAGTTAGCTCAATCGCGGTGGGAATGGAAACCCGAAACCTTCGCTTGCCAGTCCAATGCTCTATCAATTCAGCTACGAGGTCAAGTCGGTTCGAGTGGGGGATAGTTCGGAACTCAGTCTAGTTCCCTTGATATCAGTGTCTTTTTAAAATTTTTTTTAGATTTTTTAAATTTTCAAACCAAGTTTTTGGCGAGTGCGATTCCTATCGCGGTCAAGCAAACTTTTCAGCTTGCGAAGTGGACAACTCAGAGATAACATCGCAAACATAAACACTTACATGTTTTCAGAATTTCTTCTATAATATGGTCATGGTCGTTTACGGCGGCCACATGAAGAGGAGATTCTTCATGTAGATTTCTTTTGTTTACATCCGGCTTTGCCAAAAGCAACCCGTTGATTACATCATTATTGTTGCATTTTATTGCCAGGAGAAGTGGTGTAGATCCATGACTATCTGGAACATCTGAAAAATCAGTTAGGAACTTCGGTCTCTTTTTTAAAACTTCCATTGCATTTGTCGACGTAAGCTTGCTTGCAAGGACATGTAAGGCTGTCTCTTTCGGACGTTCATCCAATGGCCAGAAAGAAAGACCATACCGTCGGTGAAAAAGTACAACATCTTTCTCCATTGAAAATTCCTCCATTTTGTATTTCTTGCAAAGTACGTCCAAACACTTTAAACTATTTAACTCCACTGCTTCGAGTAAACGGCGTTGAATTTCACTTTTAGACCATGGTGGACCTTTAGAAATAAAATTGTATAGAATTCAAGTTTTGGCCAAACTCAGAGCAGAGAAAATATATTATCATCATTCATGTTTATGCAAGTATGTTTCTTCATAATCTCGCGGGTACAGTCTCTTGACAAACTCAACTTAGGCGTTTTCTCGATATATGTGCAACTAAAATCTATTAGTATAAACCTACTAGTAGGCTATCATGTATCGTGCGTTCTGATTGGCTACGCTATCAGAAGGCTATTATAGCACAGAGTAGACTCATACAGAGGTATAACTGACCGTCGTAAACACTGCTGAAACTTATGTTTTCATGTACCCACTTTTTTTCAGGCGACCGGGCGAAAAATGATCAGTTGACTGCGCGTGCTCGGCAAATTCTGCAAGCAGTCAAAGCGAGCCGCCATCCGGTGGGATGCATGCATCTAGTAGCTTGCCGACCATGCGCACAAAAAAAGTGGGTACACTAGTTATAACTCTGTATATGTATCTACTCTGTGATCAACCTCGTTCCAGGGCTTCAGTGTTAGGACGAGGCGAGACACGAGGAAGCCCTGGTCTGGGCCGGTCAATTTTGCATTCTGATTGGCTAACACCATATTGTCTAAAAATAACTGAACTTGAATCGAGGTAAGACCAAACCATTGCTTGATAGACAAAAGGGACAAAAGGGATATAGAATGAAATGGGATAAGCCAGTATGCACTAGATGTGAGAATACAGCACACAATAAAGATCAGAAATGTCCTGCTATTTAGGCACAATGTTTTGGATGCAAGAAAACTGGTCATTACCAAAATATGTGTTTCAAGGCAATCAAAACAAACTGTAACTCACTTGAGCGTGATGATAGCAATTCAAATTAGCCAGATATTGATGAAAAATATTTCTTGGTACTTTACTAGCAGAACAGTGTCCGAACATTGGTGCTAACTCAAACCAAATTAATAGCCTTAGTACAGAGCAGAGAAAGAAAGTACTGATTGAAACCCATCTGACTGCAGAGCTATGCCACAAGTATACCACCACAAGTATACCACCCCAGTAGTATGTAAAATTGACACTGGTGCAGAACTGAATGTTCTATCTAAACATGACTATGAAACAATTGTTCCCAATCCCAAACGAAGGCGGCTTGAGCCACCTAATATTAAAATCACCGCTTATGGAGGTCATGAGATTAGGAACATTGGCATCTGTCAATTATATATACATCATATGGATAAAGTTAAACCAATAGTATTTATTATATAATACCTTATTGAATTCTAGTCGTTTAATTGGCTGTTTATGGTCACGTGATATTGAATAGAAAATTCCATTTCCCAAGAGTGCAATGGAACACGTCCCATTGCACTCTCTGCGAGTGCAATGGAATAAAACGTATAGTACAATTGCACTCTTTGTGTTTTCAATAAATCGCATCACTCAAAATGCTTCTCATACGAATCTATTAGTCTATTTTGGTATTATATAAAACAAATAATGAATGTTTTTTCGTGCAATTAATGTTAAGAATATTTTCATTCGGTGAAAGATGGAATGTTCCATTCAACTCGGCTGTCGCCTCGTTGAATGGAACATTCCATCTTTCACCTCATGAAAATATTCTTACCATTGCACTCATAAACATTCATTATTTGTATAATGTTACGGATGTCGAAGGACCTGCCATACTAGGTTGTCAAACATCGCGTGACCTGGGATTGGTACAGTTTCCTTGCGAAATAATGCATGTGCACGCGAGTGCACCAACTCTATCGAATTCACAAAATGTGGTTAAGAGGGCTACGCCTCTTACTAAAGGAGACTCTGTTAAAAGAGTACCCGGATAGATTCGAGGGACTAGGTACATTCAAGGAATGAAGCCATACCAAATCACCTTAGAACCAGATACAGAACTAGTTATCCACCCACCGCGACAAGTTCCAGTGCACCTTAGGGACCACTTCAAGCAGGAAATTGACAATATGCTAAAACTTGGTGTTATAACAGCAGTTGAGAAACCGAAAGATTGGGTTAATAGTGTTGTGCTGAGCGAGATAACCAACAGCAAAGGAGAGATATAGTAAAGGTAAGACTTTGTCTGGATCCCCGTGACTTGAATAAGTGGGTTAAAAGAAAGCACTATTGCATGAGGACAATTGATGAGGTGGTCACTGAGCTAAAAAATGCTAAATTCTTCACTGTGGTAGATGCAAGGAAGGGGTACTGGGATGTACCTCTGGATACAGAAAGCTCGTATCTCACAACCTTCAGCACTCATTTTGGCCGTGTCTGCTCCAAGCAAGAGAAATGTCTGCTCCAAGCAAGATCTGCAGTGTTTTGGCCTGGAATTACGAAGGACATAATCAAAGTTGTTGAGAGTTGTGATGCATGTCAGAAGCACCAACGTTGGTCAGCAGCAAAAACAGGATCTACTTCAACCTGAACCACCTTGTTACCCTTGGCAGATACTCAACTCTGATCTGTTTGAGTATAAGAGTAATTCATATCTGTTGTTATCAGACGAGTATACCAAATTTCCCATCGTCCGAAAGCTGACTAGCACCACATCCCATGCGATCATTAATCACCCCAAGAGCATCTTCGCAGAATATGGCATTCCAGACAAGCTCGTGACTGACAATAGACCGCAATATGTATCCCGGGAATTTCAACAATTTGCTAGTGTTTATGGATTTGAGCATACCACAAGTTCACCAATGTACCCACAATCCAATGGTTCCTCAGAACGTATAATTCAAACCGTGAAAGGTGTCCTAAAAAAATGTGATGAGGATGGAACCGATCCTTACTTAAGACTACTTTCCTATCGTAGTTCGCCAGTCAGTCACCGGTTGAAATCTCCATCAGAATTGCTGAGCAGCCGCAAGTTAAGGACAACGTTACCGATGGCGAAGCGGGCTCGTGTGAATAATGACACCAGCATCACCAAGAATGAGTTGCACCGGCGACAGGAACAACAAGCATTTTACTATAACCGCACAGCTGGACCAATTCGAAGGTGAACCCGTTAACATCTACGACCACCATAGTAAGACCTGAGAATCCGGAACAATCCTCAAACCCGCCAAAGAACCTAGATCTTACATCGTCAAGAATAACAAAACAGAATCCATTTACCGCCGCATTAGAACGCAGTTAAGACCGAACAGTATTCAGAAACAACAGGCAAAGCCACAGTCGATGCAATTTATAAGACCAGTCGCACTTTTTCGGCCGAGCTGTAACCGGAAGCAAGAAACCAAACCACCCATGATAGTATCTCGAGAAGAAAGGGCACCACCTGAAGATCAGTTATGTAAGTTGCAGCCATACTGTGTAACTAGGTCAGGACGGATCTCTAAACCACCAGAAAGACTGAACATTTCGTAGGCATGCAGATCTATTAGCAGCGACTGAACATTAAATCAAATTTTGTAGATAAGCATTTTTCTTGTAGTTTATTGACAATATATACATTACGTTATTTTTCTGCAAGTAAACATTATTCCAATTATTTAAAGTAATTTTTAATTAGAAACCATGGAAACGCCTGGCAGGGTAATACGGATTATATTTCTTGATTTTAGAAAAGCTTATGACCTAGTAGATCACAATAAGCTATTGGAAATTCATGGGAAAATTGGGGTCAGGCCAGCTCTTATTTCTTGGCTAGGATCGTACCTCAAAGATAGATCACAAGTCACTAAATTCCGCAATGAATTCTCGAAGGAGGCTCGAGTCAAAGGAGGAGTTTCCAAGGAAGTAAAATTGGACCCATCGCATTTATTATCCACATCCATGATCTTCCACTCATAATCTCCCCAATTAACCCAGAGGATGAAGATATTTCATTGTTCATGGACGATACAACTCTATATAGGAAGTCATTGACATCACCCAACACGTGTCCAACTGCCCGATCGGGAACTCTCAACAAAACGTGGATAATTTACGAGAAATCAAAATATGGAACTCAATAGTAAAAAGTGTAAAGAGATGCTGGTAGACTTCAGGAAGGTTAAAACTATAATCCCGTCAATTGCTATTGGCAGGGATATCTTCACATAAGCAAAATCATTTAAGTTGCTCGGTGTTTGGATAAACGACGATTTAAAATGGAATACTAATACAGCCTATATTATAAAGAAAGCAGTCAAACGATTATATCCCTTAAAGGTGCTTAAAAGCTATAATGCTCCCAAGGAAGATCTAATTTAAGTCTTTTATACATTTATTTATTTATTTATTTATTTATTTAACTTCGCCATTATCATGCATGCATTCATGGCAGGGTCACCACAACAGTATATGTTACCAATTACTATGGGCCCTTAAACGGATGTAATAAAGGATATATATATATTATTATATACGGATGAAATAAGGTCGGTTCTAGAATATGGAGCTCAAATCTGGAATGGCAATCTCACAGTTGAACAGAGTAATGACAAAGAGAGGTTACAAAAGCGGGCGCTAAGAATAATCTTCCCTGGTATGAGCTAGGATCATGCATTACGTCACTTCACCCTGAAGGAACGTTGAGATGTTAGCCTATGTCTGTTGATATGATTAAGAAAATGTCAAACCCCGGCCATAAACTTCACCTTCTCCCAATGAAGGTTTCTCAATTAAGGAGGCTCCCTACAGTTGCGTGCGGGATGTTCGCGGGACCAGTACGTGAACTATCCCACGCAACTTCATGATCAAAACAAAACAAAAATTGACCACGCTTTTTTTAAAAATAAAGCTATTTCTGAAAGGTTTCTAATGGAAAAAAGCGTTGAATAATAATTCGTTTTGTGTGCCAAATCACTTGCGAGTCTATACAGCAATTCCAGATATGATACGAATATCACTAGACTGAAAAAATAGCTACGAAACAATGTTTTTTAATTTTTTTTAATATACACTGTCAACTGTAAAACATTTGCAAAATTGCATACAAACGTTTAAAAAGTTATTTACTTCTCAAGAAAACGTTCACGTTTTTGGTCGTGTTTCTACAAGATTAAAGTGATTATATGTAAACAGAAAAATATTTCAGTTTCATAGCCTAATTGTTCATTTTTAGCAAAAAGTACACAGCCAAACATGAAACAAAAAAACACGTCCACTTGTTAATAGGCTGTTACAGCTCATAGATTGAGTAAACGGCAGGGTTTAATTAGCTTCAACCTTGTTTTCATCAATTTGATCCTTCATATTAATCCTTGGCTGTCCATGGCACTCAAATAAATCGAAAAGTTGACAAAAACAAAACAGTAAAAACAACATTTCCGCTCGATTTTGCTGAATGAAAACCCGTTCTGCGCCCGCGTACAATCTTTTACTAGTCAGCGACGCTTTTCAATAAGGGGAATTTCTCGAGTTACAGGAGGCTATTTTCTAACTTTATTTGCATTTTACTCATTAGTTTCATCGGTGACATATCTTCAAATTTTGACCACGAATTTATTTTGCGGTAAATTATATAAATTTCAATTTTTAAAAAATCTGTAGTGTGGAAATTTCGCAATAAAATTTTCGCTTTTAAAAAAATCACACACTACAGAATTTTTTTAAACTTTCACCACAGTTGCAGAGCATCATTCCCTGTTGATATATGAAATAAAAAAGATAGGTCACCGACATCGTTTTTGAGATAGCGGCACATTTATGGGTTAAATTGGAAGGTTTTGTGCTGTCGTCATGTTGCCATGGTAACACTGACGTTGTCGAAATCTATAAAATATTCCTTAGGTGACCAATATTGTCACCAAGTCGAAAAGAATTCGCGTTCTGCAGAAAAAGCCTGTTTTACGGAATTATTGAGTAAACAAGAATAACTGTAGGGAGCCACCTTAAGAGAGAGGGAAACGAGGTCAAACGGCTTAGAATATTATAATTATGCGTGTAGAAATAAACAATTTAGTCAGAGTCTATCATTTATGCAATAAATAAGTACAATTTAACTCTTCATAACTCTTATAGCTTAGTTAACTCTTAGTTTCGAAAATCTTACCAATCTTGCATGGGTTTTTTTATAGTTAAATATCAGTATTTTTAACATTTAATTTCTCAAAGAGAGTACATTTTATTAAATGTATTAAAATTTAAAATATATTACTTAAATTTATTATATAATGTATAGTGCTTTATGTATTATTTAAAAAACGAGAAGTGGCTTTAGACCTAATAAAACACGACCTGCGAGTTTTTTAAATGACTTCAAAAACGTTTGCATAATAAGTCAAATCTTTAAAAATCTTTATATAAAAATCTTTATATACTTTGAATAACAATGGTCTTTTTTTAAAGTGTTCTTTAGCTGGTATAAAGACGTATGCATGTGACTAATTTCTTACTCAAGATTGGATAGTTGCTTCATGAATTATTAATGAGGTTTTGAAAGAGATTTCGAGCACTGATAAAAGTGATAATCTCACATGTGCGATTATTCATGATAATTTTTTATCAAAGATAATCACATGTGAAAATTATCGCTTTTTATCAAAGACTGTCCTTTATATAATAAACAGAAAAATACATGGGTGCTTGGAAATATACCAGATTTATTTCTCGTGTTGAACATGATATCTCACTCGTTCGCTGCGCTCACTCGTGAGATATCATGTTCAACACTCAAAATAAATCTGGTATTTCCGCGCACCATGTATTATTCTCTATATAAAACACTCCTGCTCTTTTATTAAACAGTAATATATTTGAAATTTTAATACATATAATACCGTGTACTCTCTTTGAGAAATTAAATGTTAAATATACTGATGTTTAAGCTAGATTTAGCAAACAAGCCGACTAGTCGAACTGACTAGCCTCGTTTTAGTGCTTTTTGCACATGAAAGAGCTGCAATTTTGCTTGCATGGACTGTTTTTAATCTTAAACTCTTATATTTTGCCTTTAATTAATAACAGTCTGTGTTTAAAAATTGTTTATTAGCCCTGTAATGTATATAATATAAAATAAGGCAAACTTGTGATAGCTAGTGATTGCTAGTGTTCAATGGGCGAATGTTACCTACCTGATAAATCAGTATCATTTAACCTACCTTTTCTAATAAATATATCCAAAATTTTCCCATTATCATGATATATTGCAGTCGCAATCTCTCTCCATCTGTTTAAAGCTTTTCCATCTACTTTATCTCCAAATGTAAAGCTCCTATGACGAACGTCCTCTAAAATATTATAAGTAAGGAAAATGATGGTTTTAATTTAATATGGACGACACTAAATTTGAAAATGTAAAGGAGAAAATATCATTGATTGAAACCGGACCTAAAAAACCATGAACGCTAATTCTGAACAATACAAGAATGTGCATTATATTTTCATTTCCGGTAATGGGGATTTTATATATTCCGATATGTTTTGAATGTTTTGGATTAATTTGTGATTAAGTAGAGTTGTTATGCGTTAAACAGTTATTTAAAATTATTAAAACACATTAAAATAGGCCCCCAAATGCTGAAAATGGCACTTTACCGGCTCTAGAATTTAAACATGTTCTGGTACTATATTATGCATGGGTAGCTTTGGAGTCTAAACTGATGCATTTTCACAAAATAAGCAAACTTTATTCGAACTTGCGCAGGATACAATTCGTTGGGCCCCTCCCGGGACATTTTCTACCCCCCCCCTTGACTAGAAATCCTAACTAGATATTGAGTTTTGCAAATCATTGGATATAAGTCAATAAATGCATATAAAACGGCTGTGCTCTAATGAAGACTAACTTATGAAAACTAAACTAAGAACAGGGTTGGTAAGTTAGATGAATAATTAGGCCAAATCGTCATTAGTGCCGTTTAGAAAACAAAGAAAACAAAATCCTAGTGTGACGGTGTTTGGCCTAATTAGGGTCTCTGTAAAGAACGGAAACTGAAACGTCCGAATCCGGAAACGACCGAAACCGGAAACGACCGAAACCGGAAATTCCCGCCTAATTTCCTGCATAAAATTGCCTAAAATTTAGCCTGCTCTGAACCATGTGTTTTATTCATTCATCCCTTATAATAAACAAAGACTGTCAACTGTCAAATTGACGCAGGGCGTGAAATGTACAACGACGAAATGTATATAAAACAAGTGTGTAAACTCCAAAGATCGATAACATTTTTATATTTATCAACGTTTCGACTATATTTCAATCATCATCAGGATAAAGAAATGTAAACAATAATACGAAGCATTAGCAAGCCGCGCAATGCAATATATTAAATATAGGCTGCAGATAATACATTACGAGTTTATAATCAATACACATACAAATTAAAAGTCGAATAAAATACTACCATTGAATGCAATAATACTTGTACTACTTGTGATTGAAAGAACAATGTTCTGAATATTTGAAGCTATTAAAATGCAGTCAGATAAATTGGGATTTGGAATACGTCTAAATGAGCATGTATTTAATTTTTTTCAAAATCAAGAGCGTGCCATTTTAGTGGAAGCCGTATCGTATGTCAAATGAGAAAGTGAATGCAATATCGTTTTTATTAAATTAAACAAAACCGGCATGAACCGGCATTGTTCAGAAAGTTAATAATATGCAGTAAGATTATTAAATAATTGACAAAATTGTCAGCAGTTAAATAGCATACAACCTTACTTTCGGACGATATATATCTAAATGTTATGCCAGCGATCGAGCATCAACAATATAATTATTCGTTATGCACTTATGCGGGAAATTTAGGCGAGAATTTCCGGTTTCGGTCGTTTCCGGTTTCGGTCGTTTCCGGATTCGGTCGTTTCGGTTTCCGTTCTTTACAGAGACCCGCCTAATTATTCGGGGTGCAAATCTACCAACCCTGACTAAGAAAGACCTCAGTAATCTATAATATGCACAAAGTTGTTGATGGGAAGAATGGGAAGTGCTTTTGCATGTTATTTTAACACTTTTGTTAATTTGTTTTTACAAAACTCACTCGCTTATTTCATTCCCTCGTTCACTTTAGGAAAACAAATTAACGCGAGTGCGAAAATATCGTACATCAGCACTTCCTGTGAAGAAAGCTCTGTATATTCCTAAAGAAAAAAGAAATGCCAATGACATAATGTAGAACACTCAAAAACTCAAGAAATAAAATTATATTTACCTGCACAATGTATAAGTTTCAGCTTACTTCGATCTTCTGAATATATTCTCTTCTTTGTACCAGACATGCTATCTTTCAACATCTGATCTGGTCGGGAAGCTATAGACAATCCATATAATTGGAATGGTGTATCAATATAAAGCATGAAATAGGTAGAAGATTGAGATTCTAGATTGCGTAGACCAAAACCATGATCGTCTATTTACCAATTAAAGTTCTAAGTTAACAACAGTGCATGTATGGGTTAATCAAAATTAAAATGTAAACTACAGTATATGTTTCGAAAAGCTATTAAGGTTATTAAAAATAAAAAGGAGATTTTTGGAATAATTTTTTGAAAGAAGAATTTTTCGCGTAGTTTTAACTATAAACTCGCATCAATTGTTATAATTTATAAAGCGCGTGTCCTCCCTACCTGTAAATTCTACCTCCGTTTTGATTAATGGAGTATCTTCTTCAGCAGGAGACTTCATGCTTTGTGGGTCGTTTAAGCCTCTAGCTTAAAAACCAAACCAAAAATATTTATCAATAGCTCACCAATAATATCAAATTATACCATCTTTAATTTTCAAACCACAAAAACTGAACGTAAAACAATTCTGTAATGCAAAAAAAAATTATTTCGAAAAACCATGTTTATAAATTTTTTAAAAATTTGGCATTACAGAATTTTTTTAAAATTGGTCAGATAGTGTATTGTACTATAAGAAAATGTTTTCTTAAATAAAAAATGGGGGTAACCGACCTTTTTTTAAAGTAAAATGCGTTCAAAGTCAAAATATAGGCCATCTTGGATCGTCATTGTTGCCATAGCAACAGTGGTGACGTCACTTTTCTGACCAACTTTCGACTGTTTGATTCTCGCTGTATATATAATATACAAATTTCGATTTGTAAAGAGCATCATCTCGTTAAAAAGGTGATCTAGTTTACGCATTTTCAACATTTCTCTAAACTGTAGCGAGCCACCTTAATGGAAACAGAAAGCCGACAGCGTGGCAACAGTTCTGCGACAATTAGGGAGGCAAAGGTCGCTTTTGGGGGGAACGTTTTGTCCTTTTTTAACCGCCGCAAGCTGTTTGTACGATCCCTGGGTACGAAATTAAATTGCCGACAATGTCACGACAGTTCCAACCACAGGGAATAAGCATAAAAATCATCCACGAGAAGCACTTCGCGACACGTTCGCGACCCGTACGCGACAATTACAACCTTATGGAAACCAGGCCTAAAAAGCCATTTTTTTATTTAAGTTCGATCACAGCTTATCGATGTGAAGATGGCTATGGAACTCATTAGAATCATAACTCACTATTTATGTTAGTCAACGTTTATTCATAAATCTGGACTTTCACCGCGTCGATCACGTGCGCATTGTATTTTGCCCGACTAACCAATAGCAATGTTTTAGGAAAGTTACCTATCCGTGACTGGAACAATAGCGAAAATTAGAAATTGCGATTAGTGGATTTGGCAAAAATACCATGCACACGTGACGGCGAATTAAGCACATATATTTGAATGAACGTTGACAACATAGATAATGGTTATATTGTTATTCTAATGAGTTTCACAGCCATCTTTCCTATGGTTTGATTTGGATATATTATTACCTAGTAATTATCTGTGCACATTTTCTGTCACGTTTTTCACCGGAGGTAGGTAGAAAATCACAAATACAGAAAAAGTATTTAAAAATTTATTTGCTCCCGATTTTTGTTTGAAAGTCCATTTTAATTTACGAAAATAATGACCATTCCAAACCATAGCCCATCGAAGGGAAGATGGCTATGAAACTTATTAGAATAACAATACAACTCACCTTCATCCAGGAAGTCATCCTGAGAGTCTCTTCTCTGTGTTTTTGCAACATCTTGTACTGTCGTGCAAAAAAAAACACTTCTATATTAGTCCTTCGAAAATCTAGCATGTTAGGGAGCATTTGTTATCTTCTGCTTCCGTGTCATTATATCACAAAAAATTCATTGCAGGATAATTATTCTTGTATCATGCATCCTATCAGATTATTAACTACTTATTAACGGAGCGCGAGGTCTTTAAAGAAAAATATTGGACCGAGGTCTTTTTCGTACAGACCGAGCCCGTAGGGCGAGGTTTGTACAAAAAGAAGTTTATTATATGACATTTATAGTCGAAAGATCGAAACAAACAGGAAATGCATGATTTGAAATGCATTAATGTAGCATGACACACATTTAATCAAAGAAAACAAAAAATACCATTGTATTCCTTCCTTTTCACTTGAAACCATTCGCAGATAACTTAGTAATAACAAATGAAATTATAATTTTCAATTAGTTTTGCTGTTTTGTTTTAAAATGCATGCGTCTGTTTTTACGTAATGGACCGTCGGTCCATTACGGGAAAATAATGGCCCAGCCAATCACAGTCCGCCATTTCACCGGACGTTGATGCTTGCCATTTAATAAAGTAATATTAATATCATACAAAATAAAATGTCTTCAAACCGAAGCAAGAAAGTTACACAACAGTTTTCAATGACTTTTCAAATTAGACTAAAAAATAAAACGTCAATTTTCGACTCATTGGACTGCATTCCCCATGAACAAAATTTTGATGTAGCCAAGTCTAGACAAACGTTTTATCACAGTTTGAAACAACATCACAAAATTAGTAATATTCCAAAGTTTCGTTGCGAAATGTTGTAAAATGCGGGTGATATAGCCCTGCGAAGTTTGCCGTTTTTCAATCATTTTGTATTACGCGCGGGAAATTGATACCTTTTTTCAGTTTTAATTTACTAGAACTTCCGACAAAAATCTCCAGATGCTTTCAAAAACCAGAGAATCACAATACTGTAAACTTCAACATCCTTAGAAATTGTAAGCCAAACATCGAAAAGCAAAATTTGCGGGAAAAGCTCACGAGCCCGCACTATTTTTGTGCAGCGTCAACGAAAGTCCACTCTGTTATAATTTTATAAATTTAGGCTTACAGTTACCTTTCGGTTCCAGACATTTCAAAAATTTTACTTCTTCTATTAATGGCTCACCTTTATCTGGATCTTGAAAGGGGTCATTTTTATACTCTCTAATTAGTATGCTATTTATGTTAGTCAACGTTTATTCATAAATCTGGACTTTCACCGCGTCGATCACGTGCGCATTGTATTTTTGCCCGACTAACCAATAGCAATGTTTTAGGAAAGTTACCTATCCGTGACTGGAACAATAGCGAAAATTAGAAATTGCGATTAGTGGATTTGGCAAAAATACAATGCACACGTGACGGTGAATTAAGGACATCCCAGCGGGCAAAATGACGTTTATCCAACGTTAAATCAACGTTGGAAATGACCTTCCAGACGTTGGATAGACGTTGAAAAAGGGTTGACTATGCAAATTGGATCAACGTTACTGTTTCGACGTTGAAACAACGTTGAAATTAGGTTTCCAATCTCGTCAACCATAATTCAACTTTGTATCCACGTTAAAACAACGTTCAAATTGGTTCACAAATCGACGTCGTACATTTAAGGGAAGCCTCACATATCGATTTTGTCCATGAGAAACGTCATATGTTCGTTTCTCTGGAGACCCCCCCACCCCCCCTTAGAAACGTCACACATAGTTATCGATATTTTGTTCTTATAGTACACATAAGGTAATTTTCTACTATTTTTTTCGGTCGGCTATTGGAGATGCTTCCGCGAGGAATATGTCATCTTCTGCTGACATACCCTTTTTTATTAATATATATATATACATGAACTTCAAAATTTCCAACGTTTCTCAAAATTTCCAACGTTTCTGATAATTTTAGCGCGTTTTTCTCAAAATTTGAGTGTTTCCAATACAAGAAAGGCGTAATAATATCAATGTATAGATATAGAACAGGTATCAATGCATGCATGATATACATCATGAAATACCGATAATGTACACCATGTTATACTGATTTGGATGAAGTTGATCGTACTTCCAAGAGTAAAAGTCCCCTCAGCAACATTTGTAAAGGCTCTCTGTTCCCATTTGCCAATACTACGCCATCTTCAATCGTGATGCATTGTGGTGTAGATAAAGCTAGTAAAGTATATGTATGTCCCTGAACATACGTATACAAACACGAGAATACATAGTATAGACGCGAAATTACTGTTTGTTTCTGAACAAAGAGTAAAACACTTCGATATTTCAAAGGAAGACACTTCATTACGTATATAATAGTGCTATACTAGCTTCCTGACAAATTGCCTTCGTTCACCATGGAGTTGTTCTCCACGTTTTTCAAGTAGTTTAGAAACAAACCATAGAAGTTAAACACGGATACACACACTCACAAATCTAACCTTATATCCGTTTTTCTTTCGCCAGAATTATACTCCAAGGCTTACGACCTCTTCTTCATGTTTTCATTTCAATGAACTGGTAACAGAAGCGCTTGATATGATTGGAAATTTAAACAAACAGGTATGCGAAAACTGACCTTTGTTTCGCTCAGTTGGAGTCCGACAGTTTTATGAAATTGCGTTTTGAAATTGCGTTTAATTAAAGTAATCGCAAGTGCGGGTAGGAAATGAGCAAGAGACTGTTGATAAACGTCTTAGTTTTCGAACGACAAATACATATGCATATAGTGGACTGGCGAAAAGTAGTATGTGCATGAGAGTTGAACGTTGTTAATGACAGAAATTTCATAAATTTCATCACAGCTTGAAAGAGCATCACAAAATTAAATTATAGTAATCATGATTCCGAAGTTTCGTTGCGAAATGTTGTAAAATGCGGATAATATAGCCTTGCGAAATTTGCAATTTTCAGTCATTTTGTATTACAAACGGGAAATTGATGCCCTAATACCCGATTGGGCTGTCATTTTCCCGTTTGTAATACAAAATGACTGAAAAACGGTACACTTCGCAAGGCTATATTATCCGCGTTTTACAACATTTCGCAACGAAACGTTGGAATATTACTAATTTTGTGATGCTCTTTCAAACTGTGATGAAATATATAGATCAAAATTTTAGTTATAAGGGGAAAGGTCCATTAATCGACAAAATCAAACAAGTTGTGTTTTAAGATTCTTGGTGACAATGCTTTCATTTCTCACACTTTTCTTAGCGTAAACTAGCAATGGAATTGTTTTATACAGTTTGTTTTTATTGGACTCGTCCAGGGTTTATTGGACTCGTCAACCTGATTTCAATGCATGTTAAGTAGAAATGTTGACACATGTTGCCTCGTGATTTGTAATGTATGTGTAAACATTTTCAATTAACATGCGTAGAAATCAGATTTTGTTGCAAGTTGCAGCAATTTTGTTGCCCGTATTACTCTACCTTAAGACATACATCTGGTTGCGAAATTTGAATGATTAATTACATAAAACATAATTTATATTTTTTGGAATTTGAGAAAGCATGCATAATTCATATTATTTTGAGGAAGGTTTGAAAACTTGAAATCTTACCCGGAGGAAGGTTGAACACTTTTTGCAATTCTGTTTTAATATACCCACAATAACAAACGCAAGACCCTCACCTGCTTATTATTTTATACTACAAGTTAGTACCACTAGGACCAATATAGATGATGTCAGGCGCTTCTATATGTATCATGAGCCTCTGGCATGGGTAAATTGGGCAACCACGCCCGATATATAAAGACGTAAATGATTTTTGTCTCAACTTTTCCCCATGTTTTGCAGGGCAATCATGGTTAAATTGCGGACGGGCACTGAAGTGCAAAACGTCAGGGGCACTACTAGTTGCAGATCGTTTGGTTACGATTCATGGAAGCAACTGTATGAAGGTGCAGTTGGTGATTGGCCTGATGTATGTCCTGTGGATTATTGTACCCGGAATGCTATATATGGAGCCCATGTAAGGGTCCATTTCAATCGTGGTGGGGTATGGATTATACCCATGTGTGCGAAACACAATCATTATACGAACAACGATTGAATGACTATTACTGATTCAAACACAATTGCAGTGTACGCTGAGAAGGAACATACATGAAGTCTGTCTGAGATAGAATTTGGTTTTTGACAATACACAGTTTCGAAATGAATGTACTGTTTATATAGTTGTAGAAGTGATGAATCATTAATAAGGCTACTGAGCAATCTTGTCAATATATTTAGGTCAAATATAATTACCGTACAATTATAAATTTCAGCAAGGTCATTATTGCTAGTTATATTATTATATATATAGCTAGTTAACTAAGAAATACAAGTCGATATTTCTTATTTAATACGGAACTGTAACATATCGCTATGATTTATCATAATGACTCAATATGCATCTACAATCACTATTTCCTGGTGATTTCACGTATTTAATATTGATATGAAAAGGCTGTGTTATGATTTAGATGACAGCTAGGATATAGTAACGATTACTGTGACTAAGCTGATTGCGCACTGAAAAATTATGTTTATACAGACAACCTCTTATCTTTTCTGATATAAGTTTAAGCTGGCTTTCCGCATAGTTAATGATGAAAGCAACAAGAAAACAGAGCTCCTGGAAAGTGCTCACGGAAATTATGTGCATGGCATACAGCTAGCCATGCTGTCATAACTTGGGAGTTAATTCCAATCTTTACTATTCTGGGTGCAGAGGTTTTTGGCGTCGGGTGGAACCGCTTGCATGAGTGCAGGCAACAGCTTAAATTAAGCTAAACAGGAAACTCCCTGATCCGGGATAATTTAGCCTGCGTGCAGCTTGACTTTAAATGGGAAAAAATCAGTCTGCGAACCAGGGAACAAACCGAACAATACCGTATTCGTGCCATCTTTTGAATTGCATGGATTTCTGTGCTCAAACGTGATTAGCTATTGGTGAGAAGCTTAATATACACGCGCTACGATTGGCCAATTCGTTAAAGTGCCCCTGACACAAAAATTGATTTTTTGTGTATTGAAAGTACACATTATGTGGAGTGTTTTGGTGAAAGAATTTTTTGATTTCATTAAAAAGGAAAAATTTTAGAGCGGTTTAAACACATAAATTTTTGGCACATGGACGTCGGCTACAGGAGTCTGGGGATAGCATTTTTTGTGACGTCACGCAAGTGAGTCAAATCTTGACGGTCTGTTAGACTTTTATCAGTTTTGATCAGCTCAAAGGTTTTGATCGCTGAACGGCTGAAGTGTTTTTATATTCTAAGTTCTATCATGCTTCTATAAAGTATCATGTCGACAACAGAATCCAACAGTAGCGATCAATCCGATGATTCCAGTGCGAATTTTATACCTGGTTAATATATGTTGTGTTGGAAGATGCTAATCAATAACACGCCAGGTCCCTAGTATTATCATTAAAACCACCAAATCTACACGACGCGGACGTGACGAAAAACTGCCGCTATTATCACAATTTCACTTCAAGAGTAAAACTATGGATTGTTGTTGGTAAACAAAGCTAGGGGACACGAGAAAAATAAAATAAAACTATAGTCTCCCATTATTAGCGACTGTTTTTAGTCTGCGTCTCAGATTTGGCGCATCTTGCCTGGCCCTCTGCTATTAACGTAGACGTTCTATGGCTTTGCAAAGATTATATCTCCGGTTCGGTGCATGTTATGAAGACAAAAATACTACGACTCGATTCAGTGAAACAAAATCTCCTAATTCCCAGCGATAGTTTTAGACTTTTAGTCAGATACAGGCTATAGTTTTAGTCAGATGGTATAGCTATTTATGACCTTTGTCTTTGACTTTGATAGGTCAAGCGGTGTCATAATTAATTATATTACTCAATTTATAGTCTCGAACAATGTAAACTAGTCATATCTTTCGCTGAACATAAATTCGGCCCCTTTGGAAATATCTTTTTCGTAATAGTCTTATTCGAACCGGAATCGAAAACATTATTTAGAGTGTTATTTTCAAGCTTGTGTCTTCAGATTTGCATCTTTTACTAGTATTTCGGTATTACAAAATATTTATATTATTAGCAGGCCCGTAAAACCGAAATTGAATCATCAAAACAAAGCAAATTATCGTCAGTTTTTAATAGCTTCGTCTAGTTAGGCTTGCCGAGCCCCGTCAACGAAAGACACAAAAAGAATCGCCTCTCGTAATCCTCTGGTCAAAAATGATCCGAGCATATAGTCGAAGTCTAGCTTTGATCTGTGCTTTGACGGCACAAACAAACCCATACTTTTCTTCGTCTTTTAGCTTCCGCGCGTTCGTTATTGAAGTATGGAATATTGTGTAAACTTATTCCATCTTTTAAACATGGTTTATTGGTACAGTTAGCTGCAACATAGTAAAAAGGCATATATTTTTTATCACAAATCTAGTATATTTGTATATGGACTATATGCGCCAAGAGTGGAAGGCACTAGATAGGATCGACCTAAACCCCATGAGCCAACAATAACATAATATTTTATCAGCGGTGTTTTAATGAACACTAGCGAATTTCCGGAATATTCAGAATTGGTTTCCGGTTTTCAAAGAGTGAAAATTTCAGCTGTGATTTTAATCTTCTTTTCCTTTGGATGCAGTATTAAATAACTAACGCGATCGACGGCAAGTTAAATCGGTAAGTTTTATTCTAACACACACAGTTTTACTACCTTACATAAAAGCAGAAATCTTTATTATACAATTTATCTAATTTATAATATAATCTTGACTATAAAGTAGCAATTGAAGTACAAAATGTCTATTTACATGCACTAATATACTATATATTTAATACCAGTTAATTTGCTTTAAATATATGGTAGGTCTGGTGTAGTAGAACTGGTGCAGGCTACAGTTAAATCCATCTGGATTAAATTAGACAATTCTACATTATTTAGGGTCAAGAAATTAATAAATACACCTTTGCAGTTCAATTCATTAAATAATTTGACTAATGTCTCTGCTGATTTTTCTTGTACTTACAATTTTCAGCGTTGCCCTGGGGTCAAGGAATTTGCTAATAGCGAATAAAAAATGACAAATCCCTGGGATGTTGCCCCGCCGGGGGGGGGGGGGAGTTGGATGATAACAGTACGAATTGACTCATGCATTACCATAACTATAGTGCCATTCCATCACAATTCTTGGGTTTCATATGACGTCACAAAAGTGACGGGGGGGGTCAACTCTAAAACAAAACACAGTTACTAGAGTGAGTCGATTGGGGCCATTCCCTTTAAAATTTACACCCCCCCCTGTTGACAAGGTTACTGATTTTAGACCCCTTCGGAAACGGTTTTCCGAAGACCCCCTCGGAAATTCGCTGTAGAACCCAGTCAAATATTGATGGATTTAAATAATACAATATATATCCTATCTGGTACTGTATATAGATCTGAAACTTTTAGCAAAGATAATGTTGTGATATTTCAAAACAAAGTTGGGAGCATTTTTTGGGACACAAGTAATAATGTGGAATTTATGCATGGCAATTTGAACTTTTGAGAGTCTAAACTAGTGCATTTATGTTAATTCTATATTAATGATTGCTAAGTCCTTTCTAATGAGTGACTGAAGGGTGAATTAACAGTAGGATTGTCATAAATCTCTCCTTAATAGCCTGGGAGCCTCATTCTCATGAATTGTCAGCAAATTGACTTCAATGTCTTGATTCATGAGACTCATGCGAGCCTCCCTAGCAGGCAAAGGATGTAGTCATGGTGTAATTATCAAAAGGATGTATTGTGATTGAATGGCACTATAGTTATGGTAATGCATGAGTCAATTCGTACTGTTATCATCCAACCCCCCCCCCTGGCAACATCCCAGGGATTTGTCATTTTTTATTCGCTATTAGCAAATTCCTCGACCCCGGGGCAACGCTGAAAATTGTAAGTACAAGAAAAATCAGCAGAGACATTAGTCAAATTATTTAATGAATTGAACTGCAAAGGTGTATTTATTAATTTCTTGACCCTAAATAATGTAGAATTGTCTAATTTAATCCAGATGGATTTAACTGTAGCCTGCACCAGTTCTACTAGTACTACACCAGACCTAGCATATATTTAAAGCAAATTAATGTAAAGGTTGGTGACATCAGACAACATATTGTCTGGTATTTTAATATATAGTATATTAGTGCATGTAAATAGACATTTTGTACTTCAATTGCTACTTTATAGTCAAGATTATATTATAAATTAGATAAATTGTATAATAAAGATTTCTGCTTTTATGTAAGGTAGTAAAACTGTGTGTGTTAGAATAAAACTTATCGATTTAACTTGCCGTCGATCGCGTAAATATTTAATACTGCATCCAAAGGAAAAGAAGACTAAAATCACATCACAGGCTCACAGCTGAAATTTTCACTCTTTGAAAACCGGAAACCAATTCTGAATATTCCGGAAATTCGCTAGTGTTCATTAAAATACCGCTGATAAAATATTATGTTATTGTTGGCTCATGGGGTTTAGGTCGATCCTATCTAGTGCCTTCCGTCCAGAATACGCGAATGTAAAAAAGCGACAAGAAATATAAAACGTAATAAACATAAATAGCCATCATTACCCATCATATACCATCATATAACATCATATAACATCACATACTATCATATAGCATCATATAACACCATATAGCACCATATACTATCATATAGCATCAAATACCATCATATACTATCATATAGCATCATATACTATCATATAGCATCATATAGTATCATATACTATCATATAGCATCATATAACTCAATATAGCATCATATAACATCATATAGCATCATATACTATCATATACTATCATATAGCATCATATACCATCATATAACATCATATACCAACATATAGTATCATATAGCATCATATAGCATCATATAACATCATATAGCATCATATACTATCATATACTATCATATAGCATCATATACTATCATATACCATCATATAGTATCATATAGCATCATATAACATCATATAGCATCATATACTATCATATAGCATCATATAGCATCATATAACATCATATAGCATCATATACTATCATATACTATCATATAGCATCATATACTATCATATACCATCATATAATATCATATAGCATCATATAACATCATATAGCATAATATACTATCATATACTATCATATAGCATCATATACTATCATATAGCATCATATAGTATCATATAGCATCATATAGCATCATATAACATCATATAGCATCATATAACATCATATAGCATCATATACTATCATATACTATCATTTAGCATCATATACTATCATATACCATCATATAGTATCATATAGCATCATATAACATCATATACCATCATATAGTATCATATAGCATCATATAGCATCATATAACATCATATAGCATCATATACTATCATATACTATCATATAGCATCATATCCTATCATATAGCATCATATAGTATCATATAGCATCATATTGCATCATATAACATCATATAGCATCATATAACATCATATAGCATCATATACTATCATATAGCATCATATACT